TCCAGGAACCTATCTGCCATACAGGACCGGGAAATTTGCTGTTACTCCATATCGTGCAAGGAGAAGGACAACATAGACATCACCTTGCAATGGCTTATCTCCCACTCCAAGTCTGGGGGCCGTTAGAGCCGACCTGAGAGCTGTGGTATTCCGTGAGGGTTTGGATGTCTACTAGCAGTGTCCACAGATTCCAAGGGGTTGTCAGAGTGTGTTGCTGTCCAGTCTCATTTCTCGGAGGACACAAGATAATGATCGTGCGAGTGCAAAGTAGGGGGAAAACGTCGGAGAGAGACATGTCAGGGGAGTGAATTTTGCTATCCTTCATTTTGAACCATCTTAGGCAATATTGATTTTCTCAGTATACTAAGATATATTTCAGAATTGATGCTTTGCTAGGAATTGGTCATCATATTTATATTGATGTATGGTGTGTTGTGAGAGCACTTACCTAGATAATGCTTTTTGTGGATCTTTGTATTTTTTTTCCTTTTTTCATAGTTGCGTATTATTGTCTGTCTGTCTATGTTTACTTAGTCAAGAGTAATATCTTCATTAGCAAAGAAAGAAGAAAAAAAAATTGTATATTGGCCTATATATTTTAGATTGTCTTATCTGTTTATTAGCAAATTCAGTATCATTTTGTTTTAAGTGGAAGGTGAGAGTGATTGCTACAACTTTGTTTGCAATATGATCAGGCAGCAGTTATAATCATTATCCTTCTGAGATACTGTAGTTGTTTTCCATACGTAAGTGTAATTCGGTAATACTTTTTATCCAGATGAATCTATTCAAGATTGTAATGAAGAAAATATCAATTATATTGTTTATAGCATGAAACTGATTAAGTGGTGGACCTTTACTCTCATACATAGTGTATGGTGACCCTTGATATGACTGTGTATCATTTGGTCAGTTGTGTGTATGACAGCTCTTTTTTGTGTATTCTGGCATGTGAGTGTACCAATGATTAAGACCATTTTTTTCTGTATATTGGTCTGGTGTAGTATATTTTTAGATCATAGTGATTTAAGGATTGTTATGTATAGACCGAGGGAACGAGAATTAACAGTCCTTAATTACAAAATAGTCAGGGTGGTGGAATCTGACATCAGTATAAAATTTTGGATGAATTGAATTTGTGAATAACCATTTATCATCTTTTATATTGTTGTAAGGTGCGGGTTGACTACTTCTGACCATTTTTTCTCAAATGTCAGTTGAATTAAACAAGACTTCGATATGTGAGGTAACAGTCACTGAATTCCTCACGTTATTTTTTAGGAACACTGGTCAGAAGAAGTAAATGTAAGAGGTGGTACGTCAGTTGAACATGACTGTCATAATCCCTTTTCTGTGTGGTGCATTACAGTGTTTTCCTGTTTCTTGGCTGTATATATTTTTACTGATACTTTGAGCTGATAATTGTCAACTACACATATCTCTGGCAACAACTATGGAACTGCTAAAACCGTCATTCGTGCACGCAACTTTTAAGTTCTTTGAGCAGATGAAAACTTAACCACAGTATGCAAGGTATTTAGTATATATATATATATTTCTTTTATAGTCATGGTAAGGGTCTAGTGCTGGAGAAATTTGTCAGATCTGAGGAAGCTGTGAGTTTTTTTCCTGTCTGTCCTTTTAATTTTTTTTTTTTTTTCTTTCTTTCTTTTTTTTCTTTTTTTTCTGTTTTGTTTATACATTTATGTATGCTTGTATATGAATATTTGTGTATAGGCGGCATATCTGTGTGCTGAATCTTATACAGTATTTGGTTGACAACCTTTCCAGAGTATGTATGTGTGTATATGCAGTTGTTCATGTTCATGGTTATATATAAATGTATGGATGCATGCTTGTGTATGTATGTATGTATGTATGAATGTAAATGTTTGTTTGATATATATATATATATATATATATATAATATTATATATATATATATATATATATATATATATATATATAATATATATATATATATATATAATATATATATATATATATATATATATATATATATATATATATATATATATATATATATATATAATGTATGTATGTATATATATTTATATACATTTACATATGTGCATGTATGCAAATGAGAAATGTTGTTGTAATAGACATGCCTTTCTATATACATAGCCAAATATATTAATATGCATATATGTAGAAAGAAATGAAAAACTTGTATAAATGCATATATGTAGAAACTTGCATAAACATTCATCACAATGGACATGCATACATACACACACATGGATAAATTAAATGTGTTTTTTTGACCAGTTGATCCAAGAAAGAAATAAGATAGTAAATATATATGAAATTATTTATCTATCAGGCTTTCAATAAATTCCAAATGCCAGATTCCATACTTATATGAAGAAAAGCTTCATTGCTGGAATATGTACTCTAGAGAACAGAAAAATAGAATGACATTTTGATATGTATAACTAGGATTGAAAGTCTCAGTCAGTTAAAAGTGATTTGTGATTATTATCATGTTTATATAAGATGTTCCAGTAGTTATCTAATTATTACAGAGGAATTTTCATTTATATTTAGAAAAAAAAAACAATAAATGACTCATTTTTCTTTTTCTTTTTACTTTTTCTCCTAATTTCTTTTATGCTTTTTTTGTCTTTTTAATATATAACTGTTTAGTTATTTGATGGCAACTTGTCTGATCCGAGAAGGTAGTATGTCTTCAATATATGACTACAATTATGTATTCAGTCTGTGATGTTTTGTTGATACCATTATAGATTTAAGATATATTCTCTAGTTTTATTTTAACGACAGAATGATAGTGAGCCACGTATATAAGATTTCAGATCTGTTCCTTGTTGTATCTTTATTCAACACACATCGGAAACTTGTGTTGAGAAAAGACCCTTTAAAAGAAGGAATGTATATGTAACTGGGGAACAAAGAATAGCTAATAGCAACTTAAGGACGCATTATTCTGCGATTTTTGTTGATTTTTTCTCTTTCTTTCTTTTTTTTTGTTTTGTTTTTAACATGCATGAAAAAATAAGGAAGGCTCTCTCCATGATCTTGAAGAAAGAAAGGCCAATGTAAATATCTTCTTCAGGTGATATAAGAATTATTTATCCCCTGAGTACCTAGTGTGAAAGATTTGTTATGTCTTGTGATTTGTTTAGTGTTTTTCTTCAAGGATTTTGTATATTTTTCTTATGTTTCCTTCAGTGAGCCAGTAATGGATTCAATGATCAAACAGTGATATTATAAAATTGTAAATAGAGGATACTCTAAAGTGACAGTGAAAATTGCTAATGAAAAGCAGTGTTAACACAGAAATTGCATTTAAAGAATCAGTTTAAAGTTGATTATCACCATATTGATTTTATGCATTCATACATACATATATTTGTGTTATATATATATATATATATATATATATATATATATATATATATATATATATATATATATATATATATATATATATATATATATATATATATATATATATATATATATATATATATATATATATATATATATATATATTATATATATATATATATATATAATATATATATATATATACTATATTATATATATACTATATATATATATATATATATATATATATATATATATATATATATATATATATATATATATATATATATATATATATATACACACACACACACACACAAATACATACATACATATACATATATATATATGATAGACACTCTCACATGTACATGTACACACCCACACACATATATATACATATGTATATTTGCTGGGAGAGATAGAAATTTGTGTTTATAGTGTCACAAAAATAACCAGCACCACTATTGAAGCGATAAAAAAAAATGTGAGTGCTTAGCAATGATAAATAACTTGTTTTCCAATATTTAGTGTAAATACAACCATACATATTTACTGTAAGAGGTCTGTGGATAGGTAATTTTTTCTCTTTTTAAGTTTTTAATAAGGGCTTATGATAAACCTGTGATACACAATATAAACCTCATAGCATACATCAAGATTCCTCATGTCAGCAGCTAATAATTATTAGAAAATATATTTCTTGTATCACAGCGAGTGCATTGATCACATTGGACAGTTTGTGGACTAGATGAACAATATCCCTGGGATCGTTTTAATTAGTTTGATATTACAATACTGTGTTAAAGTGGCTGGTGTGTAAATTTGCCTTGTAATTTATAACAATTGGAAGTTGTATGAGAAATCATAATCTGTGTCAAAAGAAAACATTATTGTGTTTAATCATAGGTTTATTGTTGGTACTGTACCTGTCAGATATAATTGGATACCTATAAAAAAAAAAAAAATCATAGATTCAACATATCATTTTAAAAATCTACATTTCTTTGTAATGAAATCATTCTGGTTATTCTAAACATATTTATTGATGGAAAATGTAATTGATTTAGAGAAATAAAACATTCAATAAACATACAGTGTAGATATGTAAGTATAATGTTATTCCTTAACTTAGACCTGCAAGATTGAGTTCGAGAAAATAACATTAATATTTTATGACAATTGTCCAGATCAATTTGTATTTATTCACTGTTTCATGTTTCATTATCTGCGCTAAACAAAACGTTTTTATTTTTCTTGCTTTCTTTTTTTTCTTTCTTTCTTTTTTATATTTTAGTCTGTTTCTACCATGATTTTCTTCTTGTCCTCGTTTATATTGTTATTTTTATGGTTACCGAAAGTTTAATTTAATGGAATTTAGAAATCATAAACTCTTTAGTTTATCTTGTCTCAATTCTTTGCAAAATATTTATTAAGGACTGGTTGCAATTCATAAACTGCTGCCATTGTTTTCTTATTACAAGTATATATCTTTAGTAAAGTTGTGACCAAAGGAACAGACAGTGGATTAGACGATAAGCAGAGTTCATTGTTATTTTGCATTGTTTAAAACTGATATAGTGTACAGTATGTAGCACACTACTGGAGTAGTTAATAGTTGGTTCAGTGATAAACAAGCTTCTGAAGATTTATTTATATTGTATCTATTGTCTTTTTTTATCATTTAGTATATATATTAAGATGTTTTTGTGGCTACATGGGCTATGAAAATGATTATGACGATGTGTTTTTGACAAGAATTGTATAAAGTGCAAGAGCTATATAATTATATCACAGTTTTGTTTTATTGAGATGATAGATAAATGTAAATGTTTGATCTGCAATTGACAGATTTTTGGAATGCAATTTCTCTGCCGTTCAGAGCTATTCTTTTAAAAAATGGATGTGAATTTGTATGAAATGACTGTTGATGTGACTAGTGTAAATTTTGTAGCATCAAATATTTTGTGTAGCTACAGCATATGCACAAAGCCTACTGCTCCATAGCTCTTTCAAAGGAAGATTTGGACACAATTAGTGATGATGAGCCAGAGATTTTTAAAGATGTATGATTTACTGATATTATCCCAAATTAAAACAATGAGCCTTGTTAAGACATAACTTAGGTTCAATATCACTAGCCTGTCACAACTGTAGTTGCTCCTTTCACGCTGCAAAATGTATATGAATATGATCAATAAATAAATTCTCAATGGTACTCTTCTATTATTTGTTAATGTCACATACCTCACGTATTAGGATTTGGGAAGCAACTGAAAACAGTCAGATGATATAGATATCATAGGCCGTATCTGTCTTTGCCACAGTAAGATATTTAGTAACAACGAATTAGCCAGAGCTTGTAAAAATGGCATTTGCTAACACTACTAGCAAGTTAACAGCTACTCTTTTCAATATGTTTGGCACTTTAAGTCGTGTTTCTTGCTCAAGTACTTCATAATAAACAGGACTTGATATCTTTTAAGGCTAAGCCAGTGCTGGTTTTGGGATGACGGCAAACATCAATGTATATGCAGTATAATCTGTAACTTCGAAACTGTTATTGATCTAGGAACTCTTTATTTGTATTTGTGTCCTTTTGATTATTATTCTACTCAGCAGTAGACTGATTGGCCTTAGTGCATTGCTGCTTAAAAGATCGGACAAAAGAGTATCTTCTCTCTTATGTATGCAAATTTTGTATTTATGATCATGGTTCAATTCCCAGTTTTCTCAACTGAATGGAAATGCTCTGCCCATTCATGAGTCAGTCCCTCTCCCTCCTCTCTCACTCACTCACTCTCTCACTCTCTCTTTCTATCTATCTATATCTATCTGTTTAGATCTATCTATCTAGATATCTATATCTATCTATCTAGATCTATCTATCTATCTAGATCTATCTATATCTATATATCTATCTATATCTATATATCTATCTATCTATATGTCTCTCTCTCTCTCTCTCTATCTCTCTCTCTCTCTCTATCTCTCAGTCTCTCTCTCCGAAATGCACAAAATAATTACTTTTTGCACATACCACATACATCATGACAATCTGCAATTACAAGCTCTGCACAACAGTTTTATCAGCTCTGCTTCGTATATCATCCGTATGTGTTTCACAATTAGAAAAAAATCATGTTTAATATAATGAGAAGCCGCATATATTCATTGGATTTATTAACTTCATTGTCCATGATTAAAGGCGCGTCACAATAGCACTTTTTCCGTCAATTTTTTTACCATTTTCTGAAATTGTGTCCATTTTTGAGCGAATTGTCGATTTTCCAGTCAGACGATAATGATCGTTTCCGTCTGAAAACCTTAATTAACGTCAACTTTTTAGTTATATTCGAGAATGTCTGTATTAATGTTAAATAAAATTGTTAAAAAATTGACGGAAAAAGTGCTAGTGTGACAGCGCCTTTACTGACCAGCTCGAGAAGTAAACAAACGCAATACATACATTTTTCTTCATATCGTATCAATCGCATAGTCATATAAAATTGCCATTTAAATATCTAAAATTTATCAGACTCGCTCGCAGAAAAAAATACCATGGAGACAAGCAAAATAAAATCAGATAAGCAGCTGCAATAATACCTAAGTTGCCTTTTTTTTAACTATGAAAATCAATGAATGAATCATTATTGTACTCAACGACAGAACCTCATATTATCACAAGAACAAAGAACATTCACCAAGCAATGGAATGTATCGAGAGAAGAAAACGTACGCCTCCGAACGTTCCAAAAAAAAAAAACATTATCTACACATTTATTCATTCCAACCATTAACCATTAACCCAACCATTTAAGGCATATATCCAGAGAAAAATGAGAAAAAAACGGTCTGTTTCCCCTTCTAACAAAGAAACGTGATCTACCACATCTATTAATTTTACCCATTAACCATTTATCGCTTTTAACCATTAACCATTAACCATTAAAAGAGGACACCATCCCAGCCGCCCTTCTCGGTCATGCACGCTCTCATGGCAGCCAAGACGTGCAGGATTCGACGGTCAAAGGCGCGAAGGTGGGCGGGGGTGAGGACAGGCGCCACGGGGTCAAACCTCAGCAGTTCCTCCATGACCTGGGATAACCCGCCGCCGCTCAGGAAGATTAGCTTTTCGTAGGTCGTCCTTCGCATTCTGGAATAAGGGACATGTTGGTTTCGTTCTTGCAGAGATGCGTTTGCGGAAATGGTTGTGTTTGTTTGTTTGTTTGTATTTGTGTGTATATACTTATTCCTTTTTTGTGTTATTTATTTATTTGTTGTGTGCATTTATTTATTGTTGTTTGTGTATTTATTTGTTTGTATGTGAGTGTGTATTTATTCATTTTCTTTTTCGGGTGTGTACTTATTTGTTTGTTTGTGTATGTATTTATTTGTTTGTGTTGTGTGTGTGTGTGTGTGTGTGTGTGTGTGTGTGTGTGTGTGTGTGTGTGTGTGTGTGTGTGTGTGTGTGTGTGTGTGTGTGTGTGTGTGTGTGTTCGTGCGTGCGTGTGCGCGGGCGCGTTCGTGTGTGTAATCAGGACATTCATTTAGATATCTCCGACTTGGCACTGATTAGATGCTCTTCCTAATCAGCACACGAGGTTCAAATCTGATAATTTTCTAATCAAACTGAAGCTACGACCATACGCGATTGACTCACGCGTGGCAGATGTTCAGAAGATTTATCTCTTATCTCCGAGGAATCTCAAATCAGAGGCATCCCTTGCAGTGGTAAGGTTACAGAACGTAATTATTCTTGCAGCTTTCTCCCCCATAAGCAGTGTAAAACGTATTGGGGAAAGTGTAATAAGCGTCCGGTTCGTTAGAATTGCTCGAGGCCCGACCCAAAGAATATTCGTAACAGGAACAACGAAGGGAAGGATAAGAAAACACACGAAAATGCTTCTAGACATGCATATGCCCCGACGAAGCAATAGCGAAAAGGCCTTCGGCATATTCGTGTGTTTTCTTACCCTTCCCTTCGTTGTTCCTGTTGCAATCTGTTCACCATGAATTCCACACAAGAATATTCGTATACTTGACATGCATAAATAGAGAATAAATGCATATTTATCAGTCTAGACATGCATATCAACCCGGCAAACGGATGGTTAAATGTATATCTATCAGATATATATAGACAGATATATCTATTTCTGCATCTGTATTTATGAAATTTCATTGGGTCGGGCCTGGCACAATTTTAACAAACCGGCTGATAGACTATCATTTTCCAGCAGAAGGACAGTATTTGAAGGAAAGCATGACATGTTAAAATCAAGTCGATGAATAGTGCTCATTGCGAATTATACAGGAGAAAATAAAAGAAAGTTTAACCGGTTTCGATTGTATTTCGGACAAATATATTCGAAACCAGCCAAACACTTATTTTGCGCCGTGAAATTATTCATTCTCATTCATACATTTCCTTACGAATTACTCAATGCAGTGAACATTTAAGTACACGGTTTTAGAACATGTTGTTGCATGCACACACACACACACACACACACACACACACACACACACACACACACACACACACACACACACACGCACGCACGCACGCACACGCACACACACACACACACACACACACACACACACACACACACACACACACACACACACACACACACATATATATATATATATATATATATATATATATATATATATATATATATATATATATATATACTTGTATCTATTTAAATGTAGAATAATCTTGAACTAACACCACAACGAATATCATAGTTTGAGATGCATTCAACATTCTTCATAATGGAAGTCGACGGAATGAAAATAAAAATAAAAAAAAAACGTTCTAATATCTTCCTCAGCGACCATCAAACTATCGAAAGATTTTACGAAGATGCAGTAAGGTGTCACGTGACCCTAAAGCGAGTCTTTAATTTGTTGCTTTCTTTCTTTCTTTCTTTCGGTCTTCGTGGAATAACAAACCGCGAGACGAGATCGGACGAGTGGGATTAAATCTGAACATTTAATCTGATTCTATGAGATAAACATACTATATATAATATATATATATATATATATATATATATATTATGTATATATGTATATATATAATATATATACATACATACATACATATATATAATATATATATATATATATATATAATATATATAATATATATAATAAAAAACAAACAATCAGTCCCTATCCAACTGAACCGAAAACAACTTTCATACAGTAAAACCATAAACCATAACCAGAGACCTACTTAAGTTCACTTTTTCTCAGCAACCACAAGGAGTTTGGGGGAGTTCTTGGGCGCGTTAGAAAGGTCTCAAGGTCCTGCGTGGCTTAGGCTATGTGGTTCCTATAAGGGGTCAGGACACGAAAACCCAGACCCCTTAAATACACCCCTAAACAACGGCAAGAGGTAATCCAGGGTGCTATGGAAAGCTATCATAGAGTAAATGAGAATGGATATGGTTTAAGTACTCGTATACCCCTTATAGACCCCTTAAACACCCTAAACAATGGAATGGGTTAGGGAGATGATCGAGGGTGCTATGAAAGGCTATGATAGAGTAGAGGCGATTGGGCACAGTTTGAGATCTCGCATTCCCTTTAAATATAGCGGGTGTAAGTACATGGTCACCTTTTCAGGGCGGCACCTCTAAATTGCATTTTGAGCATGATATATATATATATATATATATATATATATATATATATATATATATATATATATATATATATATATGATTCCTTATAAATGACACTACCTGCAACACTGTAGAATTGGCGCCAGGATGTCCATCCAGTCAACAAAGGCATTTCCGACACTGAAAGCAGAAGCCGCGTCAGTGTCAATCTCTTGATGCTCAATATTTCTTAGCTGAATATCAGAAATGTATGTTTTAGGCTGTATCTTACATAGTAGACAAATGTGTTAAATATAGAACTATGCATATACACACACACACGCATACAGTGTGTGTGTGTGTGCGTGCGTGTGCGTGTGCATGTGCGCATACATATACACATGTATGCATTAAGTACGTAAATATATTTAATATAATTATGCGGTAACGCCTAGCAACCGCCCCTAGCAACGAGCACTTGGTGAAAACAAACTCGTTCGTTCGAAAAATCACTGCGCTTTGCTTACAAAGTAGCTGAATTTCAAAGTAGAGAATTTCGTTTCTTAGCGTGAAAATGCCAATGAACTGTGTTGTCGTTGGTTGTTCGAACCAAAATATGATGGGAGAGAAAGGTTAAACCCTTCATATATCCCCAGATCGCGAAAAGAAACCTGAATAATGGAAGCATGGGTAGGCCTACAGGCCATGAAACGCATAAACGCTGATGAGAGTGCTTGGGCGCCTGGTGGAAAATGTTTACATCTGCCCAGAACATTTTATTGAACTACATATTAAGATATTACACCTTTTCAAATTCCAGAGACAGATAATTACTTTCAAACTCTTGTCTATCTACACTACCTATCAAGGCCAAACAAGATCAACATTGTCGACATAGGTTTGGCAAAAGTCATACATTCTAAAAAGCACAAAAGCAATTCTATTATTTTTTTATTTTATTTTTAATAAATTGATTGATCATAATTTATATTTACAAGCAAACCATCCCCGCATCCACTTCACCAGACTTATCCCAAGTGCCTTCAAGCACTGTCCATTAAATGAAAACAAAGCAGGTTACAGTTGCCTGTTGCCTTTGTGTCTGAATGTGATATGGTCAGCAGAAGAATAATTGAGAGGGTCTATCTCTTGAGGTCAAATTATTGAGGAGAGAGAAAAATGCTTTGTGCGCTTTTAAGCCTATACTTGACTTCATTGTCTCCTTTGCATAAACACCTAGTAAATTGGAAGAAAAGTGGTGTTAGGAAATGGCACTGATTTCACAGAAAAATACCCTATATAGCAAAATGGCATACTCTACTGTAGCAAATTATGTTATAAAATTATTATTATCATCATCTGCTTTATTGATAGAATAGTCGTAGATGTCAGAATACTCAATTTTTGGTCATTTCGAAGGATCGTCGATCCATATTTCGGTATGAGTACGGTTTTAGCTACACAGTTTCTAGTTTTGCTTCATATCACCTTTCCTCTTCGGTTTTTGAAGAATCAAGGAATTCATACGCCATTTTCCTTCTCGTTGATAGCGAGGGATCTGCGAGCGACGGGTTTGTTTTCACCAAGTGGAATGGCGACTCCGACTCGTGACGTCCCACCGAATCGGTCTATACAAAACCCTAACCTACAAACCTCTTCGCATTGTCTATCAGAACCACAGGCGAGTCGTCCGCCCGCGACGTCTGCGCGAAGTGATGTCTGTCAACATTCTGGATCAGGAAATCGAAAACCGACACGTCAATGAGATCCAGAAGTTTCCTCGGAGAAAGGAGGGTGTGAAGGACAGCCTGGCAGTAATTCGCGTCCTTTTCCCAGCTTGAAAGGAGAAGGAGAAGGGGAAGGGAAGTCACGGGCAGGAATTTGCGTTGGGTCGAAAGGAAACTGGGATGTATGTGTGTGTGTGTACGTGTGTGTGTGTGTGTGTGTGTGTGTGTGTGTGTGTGTGTGTGTGTGTGTGTGTGTGTGTGTGTGTGTGTGTGTGTGTGTGTGTGTGTGTGTGCGTGCGTGCGTGCGTGCGTGTGTGTATGTATGATTGTGTGCGTGTGTCCAGAAGCAAAGCTTTGATGATACAGAATACTTCATCATACGAAATGCATCAGCAAATACCAATAAAAAGAGAGCGAGATACTCATTAATGAAAGCAGAATCAGAAGAATATTTTAAACGCCCTAATAATAAAATCTGGTCTTGCTAAATATATTCCAAAACGACTGAATGTGAGTTCGTCCTTAATTAGTTTACTGCTAGACTAGGTTAAGTTTCCTTACACCTGTAATCATAGATATCTCCACCTTTTCAGGTAATAATTCAGAATTTATGCAATTTTACAACATCCTCATTTAATGGCAATAGTTATTCACATACAGCTTCGGTACTTGAATATACATAGACATACAAGTTCTATGAAATGAACTATATTCATAAGAACAATGGAACTAGTTTATCTTGGATATGTACAACAATGTAGGCCTCACCCCCCCTACCTAATTTGACCGAAACATGGCACAGTATTTCCCATGTTTAATGTACCCATATTTTGTTTTCATTTTACACACGATGTTTTCCCGGCTTCACTAAGGTTACCCACACCCGCTCTGGACTATATTCAGAATATCAATTGGAACCTAGTTTATCTTGGATATATACAACAATTTAGGTCTCGTCACCCCCTAAAACATTCTAATTTTATCCGAAACGTCATGGTAGTGTTTTCCATCTTTCCTGTATCTATATTTTCTTTTTCATTTTACACACCCTCATTTCACCCGAAACGTCATGATACAATCATTCCCTTCCTTACTGTACCTATATTTTCTTTCCATTTTACAGTTGTTGTTGCTGTTTTTTTGTTTTGTCTTCATTATAGTTACCCACATCCTTCTTTACTTACTCGGCGAGCTTGCCTTTGATATAAGTCCTTCCCCACGGATGGTGTGGCTCGGACGCTACGTAATGTTCGGGAAGCCACAGGACCACAGCCCCCTCTAGGTACTGGTCCTCCTCGCACGCCGGCCATTTCCTATCGCAGAACTCGCAGTTTCCGAAATAGCAGAGATCTCCGTCTGAAATGCGAGGTTTTTGGTTTATTGCTGAAAAAAAAAACTGCTGCGTTTTAACATACGTCGAGGAGGTTCATGTGTGGATACATCGTTTGTACTGCATATGTGAATTGGTAACTATCTCCCGCAGGTGATTATTACGTAAATAGATGCAATGGATGTTATGAACTGGATGGAACTGAAAAAAAGCTGGGGTGAAGTAGATATCATGTTATTTCTTTAATCAAGGGTTAAGTTATATTATAAAAAAGGCATAAGAATGTTTTAAATTGACGATTAGATACGGTACAATCTTAATTCTAAACAGTGATAAGTAAGCTCTCGAAAGTGTACTGCCATGAGAATAACAAACACAACACGAAGCACGTTACGGCGCGAACTAGACACACAAACAGAAATCCCTGCAAAAACATACCCTCATTCCGGAATATTGTATCCGAAAGTCTCTGCGTCGAAACGGGCAAAATTTCGGTTTCCAGAGATATTTTTCGACCCACAGTGAGCGGCGCCATTCGCATGTCTAACACTCTGCTCAAGTGGAACGCAACGATTTCCCCATTGTGGCGATCGAAGGTGAAATAGGCGTCTTCTAAGCTCTCCTCCGGGCGTATCTGCGTTGTGAAATAGGGGCGGCGTAGGGGTTAGTGTGCAGTCAGGTATTCCATGTGAAACACGTATGTATAAACATGTAAAAGAGAAAGCGAGAGAGAGAGAGAGAGAGAGAGAGAGAGAGAGAGAGAGAGAGAGAGAGAGAGAGAGAGAGAGAGAGAGAGAGAGAGAGAGAGAGAGAGAGAGAGAGAGAGAGAGAGAGAGAGAGAGAGAGAGAGAGAGAGAGAGAGAAGAGAGAGAGAGAGAGAGAGAGAGAGAGAGAGAGAGAGAGAGAGAGAGAGAGAGAGAGAGAGAGAGAGAGAGAGAGAGAGAGAGAGAGAGAGACAGAGACAGACAGACAGACAGACAGACAGACAGACAGATTTCAAGATTCAACCATAAAAGATATAAGAAATATACTTACCTCATCGGTTTAAAAATAACGGTCTGTCCTCCTTCAAGCTTGAGTTTAATCTTGAGCTGTGACCCTCTGTCGCTGAGGTCAGCAGAGGTCACGGCGGCGGTGGCGAGGGCCGTCAGCACGTCACCCAGACCCGGAGCTGACGAAGGGATCAGCGAAGTTGGTTTCGCCCACTGGAAGGTTTTAGAGATTTATAAGGATAAGGGATTATGAGCGTGTGTGCGCGTTTATGAATGCACACACACATACGCACATACACACCACATATCGCACACGCAAACACACATACACACCACATATCGCACACGCACACACACACATATGCACACACACACACACACACACACACACACACACACACACACATACACACACACACACACACACACACACATCGCACACGCACGCACACACACAAACACACACCACACATATATATATATATATATATCATATATATATATATATATAATATATATATATATATATATATATATATATATATATATATATATATATATATATATATATATACATGCATATACACACACAGGTTTGAGTTGCCAATTTCTTCTTTCCTTTCCTGCCACGCCCATCTGATGCCGTTTTAAGAGGATTTAACCTATTTACTTGTCCTATAGAAAGGGAGTTTATATCCGAAAAAAAGTTTACTACATTGTAACAAACTGATATAATGTATACATAATTATTATAAAGGATAACCTTGACAACGAATAAGGTTAGTCCATGCTTATGTATGTTTTAATTTCTTAATGTCACAAAAATGTATGTGGTATATTTATAGAGTTGAATTTGGATGCTTTCAATATGTCTAAGTAACTTTTAAACTTCAAACACCGTGCAAATTTACCAATTAAAATGATGAATTTTGATTTTAGTAAAATACATTTTGCAAAGCACAAAAAATAAGTATGTGTGCCCCTCACCCTTGACTATTTCAATTAAGTATCAATTATATGATTTATCTTTGAATGCATAGTTGCCTTGTAATTATTTTAACGGCCTTTTAACGAGAATTCCTAAATCATTCGATCAGTTTTCAATTTGAAAAATAAGAAAATTTGATATTATCTTAATGCATAGAAGAATAATGTGGGTATGAAAATTTCAGCTTAAAACACATAGGAAAACGACCTTAAAATACAGACGTTTCCTTTACCAAATTATAATCAAATAAAATAGCAAAAAAAACAACAACAAGAATACTAACCTTACGTGCTAATTTCCAAGGCTTTTTTGTAACTCCTCTTCCTTTTATATCTTTCTTGAGTTTTGCGATGAACTCCCATATTTCAGGAGACGTGACTGAGTACTCTGCTCTAACCGCTGGGAGTTGTTTGTAGAGTTTTGAGAGCATTCTAAGCCCCGTGCGCTCTTGTTGGCTCTCCTTATAGTGGAAACTAGAACCAGATGTTGGTGGTAATTTAGGTTCATGGAATGCAAATAACAGCTAGCTCAGGATCTGACAAGCCCCAGAAATAATAATGTTTGATTTACTGGTACGTGTTTAAATGGAAAATATAATTCAAACTGTTTTCTAGCCAATAGACCGATTCGGTGTGACGTCACGAGTCGGAGTCGCCATTCCACTTGGTGAAAACAAACCCGTCGCTCGCAGATACCTCGCTATCAACGTGAAGGAAAATAGCGTATGAATCTTGATTCTTCAAAAACCGAAGCGAAAAATATGAAGCAAAACTAGAAGCTGTGTAGCTAAAAGAGTACTCATACCGAAATCTGGATCGACGATCCTTCGAAATGACCCAAAATTGAATATCCTGACATCTACGACTATTCTATCAATAAAGCAGATGGTGATAATAATTTTATAATAACATAATTTGCTACAGTAATGTATGACGTTTAGCTATATAGAGCATTTTTCTGTGAAATTAGTTCCATTTCCTAACATCACTTTTCTTCCCATTTACTAGGTGTTTATACAAAGGAGACAATGAAGTCATGTATAGGCCTAAAAGCGCACAACGCATTTTTCTCTCTCCTCAATAATTTGACCTCTCCATTGTTTCTTCTGATGGACCATATGGCATCTCAGACACAAAGGCAACAGGCAACTGTATACCTGCTTTGTTTTCATTTAATGGACAGTGCTTGAAGGCACTTGGGTGAAGTGGATGCGGGGATGGTTTGCCTGTAAATATAAATTATGATAAATCAATTTATTACAAAAAAGGAATAAAATGAAAATAATAGAATTGCTTTTGTGCTTTTTAGAATATATGACTACTGCCAAAACCTAATGTCGACAATGTTGATCTTGTTTGGCCTTGATAGGTAGTGTAGATAGACAAGAGTTTGAAAGTAATTATCTGTCTCTGGAATTTGAAAAGGTGTAATATATTAATATGTAGATCAATAAATTCTGAGCAGATGTAAACATTTTCCACCAGGCGCCCAAGCACTCCCATCAGCCTTCATGCGTTTCATGGCCTGTAGGCCTACCCATGCTTCCATTATTCAGGTTTTCTTTCGCGATCTGGGGATATATGAAGGGTTAAACCTTTCTTTCCCATCATGTTTTGGTTTGAACAACCAACGACAACACAGTTTTTATTTTTCACGCAAGAAACGAAATTCCCAGAAAAATTCAGCTATTTGTAAGCAAAGCGCAGTGTTTTTCACAAGTCCGTTGCTAGGGCGGTTGCTAGGCGTTACCGAATCGGTCTATACACGGTAAAAATTGATTATACAAAATTTTACTATTTTTCGAGTATTAAAACATTTTTTTTTTCAAATAATAAGCTTAAATTTAACTTTAACTATATTCAGAGCAAATACAATCTAATACAATCTTCCATTGTAAACCTAGACAAGGACTTCTTGAACACAAAAAAACGAAACAAAGAATGAAATACAAAAACCTAACAGCATATCAATATTTATTTTTGCGATCTGACAAATCTCCACTGGCTCTCTACTACAGCAAACAAGCAATAAATGAGTCAATAAAGAAACCGAAGCTGGGGGATGTAAAGCAAACGAAACAAAGAAGTTAAAGATTAAAAACTAGAAGGACGAAAACCCTTTGCATAGTTATCATATTTTCATATACTCGGTCGTGTCTGGAATCTACTGTATCCGATTCGCTGTCTCGTTTGAGACACAAAAAAATAAAGTTGTGTGAAGGTGTCAACTAATAAGAATTAAAAATAAATAAATACAGCGAATCGGTGTACTCCATAGGGAGTTGCCAGTTATTTATTCCATGAGATCGAACGCTCTTTAGTCAAAAAGTATCCAGAAGAGATTCCTTTACTTCAAGTTTGGAAAAAAAAAAAAAACGAATCAGGGCTTCCAGATCCTTTACATGCTTCAAAATCTGAAAATATGTAGCGATCAGAATCAAAAACAGTTATTTTGTGTATTAAACATTTAACAATCAGACTAAACACATTCATGGAACTCACACGTTCTTCAGCACATAAAATTCTCCTTCAGACAAGACCTTTTCCGATTCAGTCGAGTAAGTCAGCGGCGTGGGAGAGCGGGGGCTACAGGTTGAAATAATTTTCAGAAGAAAAAGAGTTGGCGTTAAAATCACTACAAAACACAGGGTCCGCCATACTGTTTTCCGTCTTCCAGTTTTCATGTTGAATTTTGTAAGAAACTGGAAGAAAAGGTTGAAGTGGTATCCGTGTGGTAATATCTCATGGAATATATTTATGAGGTAATGCTTCATGAAATATATCCATGCGGTGATATTTCATGAAAAATATGGATGCGGATATTCATGAAAATTATGTATACGGTGATATTTCATGAAAAAAATGTGTAATATTTCATGAAAAATATGGATGCTGTAATATTTCAGGATGGCCAAGTAGTAACGGATTCAAAATTATACGAAAAATGTCAGTGCTAAGAAATTGTATTCACTGCAGTAAATTTATTCACAAAGAGTCCGATTTATTAATTCTTCGGTCAGCTTCGATTTGATTAAAAAAAAAACTAATGAGAAATACCTCAATTTACAAATTTCACAGTTCATAAACTCTTATTACATCACATATGGACTTACATCACTTGCGGCCAAAATTATATACACAGAGCTAGCCAGTTCGATAAAGATAAATCATCCGAGAAAAATAACTTATATGTTATTGATAAATGTAGGCCTACATAAAGACTTGTAGCCTCTGCATAACGTCAATACAGCACAGATACAGCAGATACAGGGTCGGTATACAGTATAGATCAAAAGCGGAGTACCATTCACTGAAAGTTCTTGCTTGGTAATGACACTCAGCGAGAAATGGCGGGAAATACAAAATCGTTATTCCTTGAGTTTAAAATAATACGTAGAAAAGTGTGTTGAGAGATGGAATTGTTTTATGAAAAAAACGAAATTCGTACGCATGTATACACGTACCTAGACACACACAGATAATCACATTTACACGTTTGCATATGATATTCACATATTTTTCTTTCTGTCCTTATGTTTTCCTATTTCTCTCTCCATCACCATATACACACACACATACACAAACTCCTTTTCTTATTCCCTAATATAACAAGAGTCCCAATTTTCTTGAATTGTGGAATAACCGCCACCGAATCTACACAATTTTAGCCGTTAAAAGAGAAATTCAAATCTTTAAAGTTACTCGCAAACACCACACTCTACACTCGATGCAAGTGCGAGTAATACTGTTCTTGGTTGATGTTGAGGCTGTCAGGATGATTACCGCTTAAAATATTCGCATTTAGTTAACTGGGGTTGAGTGGATGCTGTCGCGTGCACCTGAGTCTGATTTCGTTGAGTTTTTTTTATCTTTTTCTTTTTCCTTCTTATCTTTCTTCTTCTTTCCTTTCTTTCTTCTTCTTCTTCTTCTTCCTTTCTTTCTTCTTCTTCTTCACTTCCTTCTTTCTTCTTCTTCTTTTCTTTCTTCTTCTTCATCTTTCTTCGTCCTCTTCTTTTCTTTTTCTTCTCCTCTCTTCGTTGTCGTCATCAGCATCTCCATCTTCTTCTCATTATCACTCATCCCCCTTCGTTATCATCATCATCATCTTCTTCCTCTTTCTCCTATATCTACTACTTCATCCTTCGTCGCCATCATCATCATCATCTTTCTCTCCTTCTCTTTCTTTTTCACTTTATTACACGACATACCTTCGTGAAAGGCGTTACCAAACTCCGTAAAAAAATATATGTAATTACGCACGATCTAAAATGTATTTCAACCAGTAAATCAAACAGTATTTATGGAAGATTCCTATTGCTGCTAATCTGCTCTCATTAATAATTCCATAATAATCCAATTACTTTAGGTAGCTGCGTCTCTACAGGCATGGCCACCCCCTATTTAAGTCATAATTTGCATGGACTTACATCTAAAAGGCATCTAAGTGGAAAGATAGAAATGTATTAAACGCTATTCGTCAATGGACCTAGATTATGAAAAGGATTTTTGTCTCGGGGAATTCATATGTAAAGAATGCATACTGTTGGTAAAGAATGGATACTGTTGTTTATATTTGTTTATAATACGTTGTTTCATCATTACTAGATGATATGGTGTGTCAAGTGTACATCATACTTTGTGGATATTAAGTGAAATAATTTATGTATTTTTGGATATTCGTTTTTCTGCAAGGCCTTCTGACATGGATACGTGCACACACACATGCGCGCGCGTTTATATATATATATATATATATATATATATATATATATAATATATATATATATATATATATATATATTATATGTATGTATGTATGTATTATGTATATATATTATTATATATATAATATATATATATATATATATATATATATATATATATATATATATATATATACTGAGAGAGGAGAGGCGGGGGAGAGGCAGACCCACCGCAAATATTAGATGCTTAATTATGATGATCTCTGGTAATTTGCATATTTTATGGCGTGGACAGAGCACTTAAATTTCAGCGAAATTGACGACATCAACTTACCTCGCATTTCTAAGCAACACAAAAAATAAATTCTCAGTTGAAACGAACGCGCCAGCAGAACATTCACAATAGGGCGGAAAATGCAAATTCTAATCCTGAATTTGATGCAAAAAACAAGAATGATGGTAATACGAAGTGAAAATTGATTAATAAAAAAAATAAGGGTTTCATCCGCTACGTAATTTTATCTTGAACACTCGTGTATCTATGAAATGTTTGCATTATGCATAATTTATACGTATGAAATGTCACGTCAGAGTTAATGAACATCTGTGAAGCTAATTTTGATGGTGAATCGAAAGCAGAGAGGAAAAAAATCGTGCATTAAAACTAAAAGGTATCAACTGCATTAAATGATGATAATAAAAGTGATTATACAAAAAAAAAAAAAAAAAAATATATATGTCGGCTGCAATTTGAAATCATTGTCGCCCCCCCCCCAAAAAAAAAAAATCGTGAAAACTAAAATTAGGCATTGCCATCTTTTAGTCTAACTATTCTTCCAACACAACTATTTAGTTAGTAGCACTGCCACCATCCGGGTTTTGATCTAAATAAGGAGGCACCCTGAAAAAAAAAAAGTACTATGATATCAATTGGTAGCAGAACCTAACTGTCTGTAAGGCTCGTGGGTGTGGAAATAAATTCATTCCTTTGTTAAGTGTGTGCCAAATTTTAACGGTCATGGAAAATTTTTAACCTTAATATTTTTATTCAATAACTAAACAATGAACAAATGGCATATCATTCCGTAAATCTTAGCAATACATACAATAATTAAAAGTAATATTTTCAAATAATTCAATTCATATCTAAGGTTAATTCTATATACCCTCCCTTTTCCTATTAATTAGAAATCAGTGACATTTTAATAAAAAATAAAAAATATACGTGAGCCGAAATCGAGACCGTCACAACCAGTCTAACCGTGTTCTTCATTTACCTAGGCTATAAGCCGATCATTCCCTTTTTTCATCTTTACAATTTTCCTCTCTTACACTTCCCTCTAATAAATAATATCCTTCTCAATCTATTCAATGATACCACCGGAACTGTCACCTGCGACCACTCCCGTACTGTATCCACGGACTACTAAAATAACTAAATGAGTAACAAAATATGTTCCCTACCACCAAGCATTATGTGTTGTTCTGGCAGCATTCTCCATTTCTCCTCTGTTTACATGGGGAGGGACAGGACTCGTCTTAATATCACAATTTGATACAAAGAGATTTAACAATTACATTAATACACATATCAAGCAGTAAAATCTATTATATGAGGGTAAAATGTGATTTTAAATACCCGCACTCAGCTTAATTGTTTACATGGGAGGGACAGGACTCGTCTGACAAGAAATTGTTAGAATAACGAAATAATTGCTTTCCCTTAAATAAATTGTTAACATTTAAACATACAAACCATTTATGAATGAGTATTATAATTTACTCTATTTGTTATAACACTAAATTTTGCTATATTGATATGCCTTTAGATTTATGAAAATATATAAACAAATGTTTCAGTGACGAACGTACATCTTTGAAATCAGAAACATCGCATCTTTTAATATGTCGAATAAATAATGGTTTCGACATATATATATATGTATATGTATCTTTTTTTTTAATCATCTGAAAACCAAATATCCGGATGACAAAACAGGAATCTCTGTGTCAGCACACCGAAGCTCTCAAATTTGATTTTGTTCGTCACATGACACTGTTTGGAGTAAAAAATAAATAAATAAATAATACCTACGGTCAGAGCAACAGCAAAATTAACCTATCATCGGTTAATTTTGTTATCAACACACAAAATCTATATTCGAGATCCCAGAAACAGTTATTTTTAATCGGGTGGATTTTAGTCTCGAAATCATTAATAAAAACAGTATACTGGTGTTACAACCGTTCCATTAGGTCCATAATACCCGGAGATACATTAATTAAAATTCTTTGTGCACAAGAATTTCATATTAAACACAAGAGAAGACTTTTTTACAGTTACAAGAACGTGTAATCTTTCGTGAATACTTGTAATTGTTTCTTTCATTGGTAGTACACAAGAATTTCCTATTTAAACAGAGCAGAAAGATGGATTTTTTATTTCCTTACAGTTACTAGAGAAAGTAGTAAAGACTAAACCATTTAAAAAGTGCAAGACGCTAATACATAATGATTTTTTGCATTGCTTGCATAATGATCCATCTTTTAAATTGCATTTAATTAAAAGTGCTGGTAGAAATGACATCATATGTGGGTCACCGAAGCACTCTGCTTTTTAGACGAAGTGAAATGTGGTTTTAAAACTAGATATACTTTTAAGAAACAAAGATATGGTATGTTTGCTAATAGTGTGCGGATAAATATGCAAAACTACGATTATTCAAAATTTGTTTCGCTTAAAAATTGCTTGTTTCTAATCTACATTGCATAAACGTCTTAATGCATTTTTTAAAAGATTCACTCCACGAGTTTAAACATCTGAAGGTGACACTTGCAAAGAAACCGGTTTATCTGTACTTGTCAGGAGTATCTTTGTAAACTTATATTTTAGTGCGACTGAAAGCTTGTCCGTTTTGCGTTACAATTCAGTTACGCTACAACGTGTGTTACAACAAATATTGCAGTAGGGTGAATTGCCGCACATATTTTTCATGATTTCAGAGACGTTACAGTGTTTTTTTTTTTTTTTTTTTTTTTTTTTTTTTTTTTTCTGGCTTCTGATATGTCGTCAATGTGAAGTTTGAAAGATACTAAAAAACGTGTTCGGATGTAGAAGCCATTAGTAAAGTAAACTATTGAAGACTAAATAATGCGTTAGGTGCAACAATCATGTTCAAGCAGCAACTGTAAATATTAAGATCTATGTCAACATGATACAAAATAAAATACGAAAAGTTGAAAGAGGTTTGAAAGTACCGGTTCAAATTACTTTTTTCGTGTATTTTTTCCGGTACTTTCCAGTTGTTTCAAACTTATCGTTTTAGAAGATTGATGTCGTTATCAAACATTAATAAACGCTAATTAATGTTTTTTCTAATATATTAAAGAAGTGTGTGGTGCGTGCGTTCGTGCGTTTGCGTGCGTGCGTGCGTGCGTGTGTGTGTGTGTGTGTGTGTGTGTGTGTGTGTGTTGTGTGTGTGTATGTGTGTGTGTGTGTGTGTGTGTGTGTGTGTGTGTGTGTGTGTGTGTGTGCGCGAAATTATAATAAGTTCGTAATCATTTTACCTTCTCGGGTTGGACAAGGGCGTGTTCGAAACCGTGGATGAGTTTTCGATAAAATATTTGTAGCTTAATTTCTTCTAAGAAGCTCAGTTGAAATATTTCCGTGTCTTTTTAAGGGTCTTAGACGCCAATTGCCAAATTACGTATGCTAATTACAATAAGGAAAAGTATTCACACCGACTGAAAAACGTGGAGAGTCGTGCAGTGGAAGTAACATACAAAGGGACCATGAATCGAAACCCCGCTCTGCTTCATATCATCTATCTATTTTATTCCAATTTCACCGAATACTGAGCACCGAACTTGGAAAAAAGTAGATACTGGTATTTGTAGCACGTGCCAATCTTCTTTATTTCATGGATACAAATGACAGTCGTTCTCGATAATCAAACTTGTTTCCAATATAACGGTTCTCTACAAACATTTAATCTTTCTCAACAATAGGCAATAGATGAAAACTTAATC